TTGTTTTCAAAAATCTCTCAAATTCAGTCTCAAGTTGACTCAAAAGGTATAACTCATTTGAATTTTCCTCACGCAAGGCCCAAATTATGTTCAAAACTGGTCCCGAGAGGCAAACTTTTCGACACTTGTCCGTTTTCGCATTAGAAAAGTTTTTATGGGGGCGAAAAACATAAAACCCCTAGGGGACCAGGACACATTTGCGGGATCCCTCCCGAAAATGTGTACTGACACGCCTAGTGGTTTTATGATTTTTTCCCTGTCAAGAATTTTCTGGTTCGAAAATGGACACGTAACGAAAAGTTTGCCCCGCAGGACCAGTTTTGAACATAATCTGGGCCTTGGGTGGGCAAAATTCCATAAAGCTGTACTTTGTGAGTAAACTTGGGGCTAAATTTGAGAGATCTTTAAAAACAAGGAGCTGGCAAGTACTTTCTCTTTTTTTTTTCAATGTTGCAGTCTTTTGTTTCGTAGCGCGAACACGTTAGCTGTTGGAAATCGCACTTAGATATCGAAGCAAAACTCGCCACGTATACCTCCCTCATGAGGCTTAACACCTCTACATCCAACCTGTTTAGAGTGTCGGTTACTAAGCTCACCGCTTGATCGCTTCGCTGGTATCGCCACCAGCGCAATGCTTGATTTGTGAGCCCTAAACACTCGCGTTACTCCCAATGACGCGTGAATGGCTGCTCGCGCGTTGACGAAATGAACACGCTGCAGGAGCAGTGCCCAATCATGTTCCTTGAAGAATAGCTACGCGAGCAGTTGCTTCCTCGAACGCGCGTCAGCAAATGCCGATCAGTAGCCAATCAGAAGCACCGAAACAAGTGGTGGTGCGAGTAGCTTGCTCACTAGCTAAACTCAAACAATTGAATGAACTGTAGCCAATTACTGCAACAGAAAACTATCACTGCTGCTGACTCGGCTCCCCGTCGTTGACACAAAATCAAACTTGTTCGCCTGAACACACTCGCCACTATGAAGAAACTCGCTGTCTGGAGCAGCTGCCGTAAACATATATTTCTCCTTTCTCAATAGTTCGAACAACACCATATCTACCATTCAAGTTTCCTGGGTGTCATAAAGTTTTTCTAGCATGCTGGTAAATAGCATAGTTCTTTCTTGTATCGGTAAAAAACGCAACAGAGCATTGAGACATGACTGACAGTACGTCGTGCAAGCATATTCTTGCACAATTGTTATAATTTATCTGCGTATGTATGGACATAACATATTCAGACACCCAAGAGCATGTCAGATGATACAATTTATGCAATATAGTAGCTCTAACAAAATACACAAATTGGAACGTATCTGTTTTCTCAAAATTATAAAATGGTGCTGTCCTCGATTTTGCCCACACGGTTTAATTGCCACACACAACTCGCCATTTCTCGTAATATCTGGCTGATAGAATGCATCTCCCCCCAAAGGCCCATTCACGACCACTGGCTAATGGCCACGTTTACTGTCTCGAAACAACCGTTCACGACCATCCTGAACAGTGCAGAAACGAGCAAGGAGGTTAGCCGTGAAAAACTGGGGCGTAACCACGGTAAACAGTCTCCGAGACCTTGCTTGTAAACCACCACAAACGGCCGGCAAAAAATTCAGCTGTCAATTCAACGCTCACGACGGTTTTCTGCGAGAAGCACAACATAAATTGCCCAGAAAGCGCTTCCAGCCCGAAATGCCTCATGAACCACCAAAAACCGAGCGCACTCTGTTGGGTGCAAATGCACATTGCACGACATCCTGCCGTTTGTTTGTACGAGTATGCGTGTGCGAATGCATTTGCGTGTGAATGGTGTGTTCGTGTGTTTGTTTGCTTTCGCATTTTTCGCTTGATGCATTTGCAGGTACTCGCGCAATGTGCGCTTCGGCACAACATTGTACGCGCTATGAACAGTGCAAGCAGAAAGGACGAGCTCGCAAAGGAACCCAAGATGGAAGCTTTGCAGTTCGGTTGAGTTGATTGCGCAGATTCAGTTCTATCCAACTCGAAATTGTACTGTTTTGTTTGGTTAACTATAGTGTAGCAGGGAAGGCACTATAGGGGTACAATTTAGGTGAAGGTTGGATGTTGTTTGTCTGTATCTGCATGCTACAAGGCCAGGGGAAACCAGCGGAACCAGCATTTGGCTGGTTGGGAAAAGACAAAACAGGTTCTGTTTTTAGAACCTGAACCTGGTTGTTGTTTTCCCAGGTTGGAAAAACAGAACCAGAGGTTGTTTACCAACCTACCACCAGCTATTTTGTCCAGCCAGGTTGGTTCTGTTGCTTGGAATTATTTGGGATCATCCCTGGTTGTTCCCAGGTTGATTCCCAAGGTCCTTGCTAGCTAGAACTATTTAATCCTTCTCTGTTTGTACCTGAATATAGTCAAATTGATTCAAGCGAATTCCTTCCTCGCTGGAATTTCGTTTCTGCGCTATTCGACGGCGGAATGCTACCCGAGTCAACGCTAGTATGCTAGCACTCCAACGCTAGGCAAACGCTGTCCGAGCCAAAACTTAGTAATGGCAGAACTTTTCGCGAGGCAACTTGGCTCATTTTAAAGCTCTTGGAGCGAGCTTCGATATAGCGAATTCTCAGCTTAATCCGACCGACGGTCTGCACGGCACGCTGCGCGACGTTCAAGGTGCTCTTGCTGTTTTGACTAAGTCCTTCTTGATCCCTCTCTCTACAAACTCGGACCCGAGGATAGGGGCTGGTCTTGTACCAGGCACCCAGGGACCCTTGGAGGTGACCCCGAGGAGAGGTTTTAAGTTTGATTAAGTCCTAATAGCTTGAGTTTATTAGGCCCTTACACCAACAAAAACTTCAAGTGCAAGAACCTTGGGGAGGTAAAGTACTACCTCGGGATGCACGTGGAGAGGGATCCTGATCACAGGTGGTTGAAGCTGCACCAGGAGAAGTTCATCAAGGAGCTGGGGGAGAAGTATGGGATTGAGAATGAGCGCAAGGTTGCAACTCCCCTGCCAGCAGAATTCAAGCTTGTGAAGGCTGCAGAGGATGAAGGGGTTGAAGCTGAAGAGCAGCAGCAATTTCAGTCCTTGGTGGGCAGCCTCTTGTACGCAGCAGTTCACACGAGGCCCGACATCTCTTTCTCGGTTGGGCAGCTGGCTAGGGTGGTGCAGAATCCATCAGAGGAGCAGGTGGATGCAGCTGAGCGTGTGGTGAAGTACCTGAACTCTCACCCAAGCATTGGAGTTCAATACTCCGCATCTGCACAGGTGAAGCAGAAAGGGGTGGAGGTGCTGAAAGAGAAGGGGGAGAGGCTTGGAGAAGGCAAGCTATTTCTCACTTGCTTTACCGATGCTACGTGGGCTTCTGAGAAGGAGGATTCCTCATCTATGGGAGGATACATATGCGTAGTTGGGGGAGGACCTGTTAGTTGGAGGTCCAAGAAGCAGACGGAGACGGCACTCTCTTCCGTAGAATCAGAGTACATGGCGATGTTCCATGGGGTGAAGGAGGTGATTTGGCTGAGGAGGCTGTTAGAGGAGATTGGCCAGGAGCAGAAAGTTGCTACGCCGCTGTTTTGTGATAGCAAGGGGGCTCTTGGGATGGCCAGAAACGCTGTGCTTCATGGGCTGAACAAGCACATGCGTATCAAGTGGCACTGGCTGCGTAAGGAGGTGAAGAGGGGGACGGTGCATCCGATCTACATCAAGACTCACCAGCAGCCAGCAGACTTTCTCACCAAGAGGCTTGCGGATGAGCCTCATTGGCGTTGTGTGCGCATGAGTGGAATGAGCATGAACTAGCATGGAATGACGGGGATGCAGCCGGCAGGCTGAGGGGGAGTGTGTTGGGTGCAAATGCACATTGCACGACATCCTGCCGTCTGTTTGTACGAGTATGCGTGTGCGAATGCATTTGCGTGTGAATGGTGTGTTCGTGTGTTTGTTTGCTTTCGCATTTTTCGCTTGATGCATTTGCAGGTACTCGCGCAATGTGCGCTTCGGCACAACATTGTACGCGCTATGAACAGTGCAAGCAGAAAGGACGAGCTCGCAAAGGAACCCAAGATGGAAGCTTTGCAGTTCGGTTGAGTTGATTGCGCAGATTCAGTTCTATCCAACTCGAAATTGTACTGTTTTGTTTGGTTAACTATAGTGTAGCAGGGAAGGCACTATAGGGGTACAATTTAGGTGAAGGTTGGATGTTGTTTGTCTGTATCTGCATGCTACAAGGCCAGGGGAAACCAGCGGAACCAGCATTTGGCTGGTTGGGAAAAGACAAAACAGGTTCTGTTTTTAGAACCTGAACCTGGTTGTTGTTTTCCCAGGTTGGAAAAACAGAACCAGAGGTTGTTTACCAACCTACCACCTGCTATTTTGTCCAGCCAGGTTGGTTCTGTTGCTTGGAATTATTTGGGATCATCCCTGGTTGTTCCCAGGTTGATTCCCAAGGTCCTTGCTAGCTAGAACTATTTAATCCTTCTCTGTTTGTACCTGAATATAGTCAAATTGATTCAAGCGAATTCCTTCCTCGCTGGAATTTCGTTTCTGCGCTATTCGACGGCGGAATGCTACCCGAGTCAACGCTAGTATGCTAGCACTCCAACGCTAGGCAAACGCTGTCCGAGCCATAACTTAGTAATGGCAGAACTTTTCGCGAGGCAACTTGGCTCATTTTAAAGCTCTTGGAGCGAGCTTCGATATAGCGAATTCTCAGCTTAATCCGACTGACGGTCTGCACGGCACGCTGCGCGACGTTCAAGGTGCTCTTGCTGTTTTGACTAAGTCCTTCTTGATCCCTCTCTCTACAAACTCGGACCCGAGGATAGGGGCTGGTCTTGTACCAGGCACCCAGGGACCCTTGGAGGTGACCCCGAGGAGAGGTTTTAAGTTTGATTAAGTCCTAATAGCTTGAGTTTATTAGGCCCTTACACCAACACACTCCAACCCTAAAATTGCCCTCAACACCCCCCCCCCCCCCATACTCCTCGGTTTTACATTTTTCTGATGTCCGTGCGAGGGAGGGGAATGGGCATGGACGACGGGGGAAAGGAAGCGAGGGCGAAGGAGAGGGGACGCTCGACGAAGACGTCAGCGGCGGGAATGAGAATGATGTTGACGCAGCGACAGGTGGGAGAGGAGAGGTCGACGCGGCGAGCGATGGGGAGGGGAAACGAGGGCGATGGGAGGGGAAAGACAGGGCGACCGGGGGGGGGGGGGGGGGGAAGCGAGGTCGATGGGAGGGGGAAAGCGAGGTCGACGGGAGGGGGAAAGCGAGGCCGACGGGTGGGGGAAAGCAAGGTCGACTGGAGGGGGAAAGCGCGGCTGACGGGAAATGGAAAGCGAGGCCGACGGGAAGGGGGAAGCGAGGGCCGGCAGAGAGAGAGAAAGCGACGGACGGGGGAAGCGAGGACGACAAGCGGGGAAAGCAAGGTGGGCAAAGCGCTAAGATCTCCCGCTCTGTCCATTTTCTCCGTGCTTCACACTCGCATTTAGCGTCTGCATTTCCCTTCGATTGCGTATACGTGTTGCACCTACTATACGATCGGCTCTAAATCGTTTCACTTGATATGCCTGGCTGGTATGCGCGATGCTTGGATTCTAAAAACGAGTGTCTTAGTTGTTAGCTTGTTCTATCGCATTGGCTTTCAACTCTGCTCGACCTCCCTGAGGTTGTAAGTAGGCCTGTCGAAGTTCCTGGCACCAACATTTGGATTCCTGAGCTGCTCGAAGTTTGGACCTGATTTTCGAAAAGGTGGCCGTTTTTTTGCCCTTAACGATCACGGGTACTTGTCAAATTCAAAACTTAAAATCAGGGCTTCCTAGAAAAATGCACTTGAGCCCTAATGTCCGAAAGGTGGGTATCGGCCTTGTCAAACTGTTATGATGTTTATATTCTGTAGGCTGTAGTAGGGTAGCCCATAAGGGGTACAACCCAATTAGGGTTAGTACTTGTACCAACTTTCTGTTCAATGCATTCATTCTCGTTCTCTATTCTGACATGGTTTCAGGGCAGGTCCTGTTCCAGGACCCTTTTTTTTAGGGCCCTGCGAATAGTTCCTGCCCGTAGCGCGTTACCCTGCCCGTAGCGCCCTACCCTGCTCATCGCGCTGTCCTGCCTTGCCCTGCGTAGTGCCGCCCGCGCACGCCCTGCCTTACCCTGTGTTGCGCTGTCCCGCGCACGCCCTGCCCTGCGTCGCGCCGCCCGCGCACGCCCTGCCCTGCCCTGCGTCGCGCTGCCCGCGCACGCCCTGCCCTGCCCTGCGTTGCGCCGCCCCGCGCACGCCCTGCCCTGCGTCGCGCCGCCCGCGCACGCCCTGCCCTGCGTCGCGCCGCCCCGCGCACGCCCTGCCCTGCGTCGCGCCATCCCCAGGAACGCCCTGCACTGCGTCGCGTTGCCCGCGCACGCCCTGCCTTGCGTTGTGCCGCCCCGCGCACGCCCTACCATGCATCGCGTCGCCCCGCGCACGCCTGCTCTGCGTCGCGCGGCCCGCGCACGCCCTGCCCTGCCCGCGCGCCGCCCTGCTGGTTGCGCGCCACCCTGCCCTGCCCGCGCGTAGCCCTGCAGCCTGCTGCGCCGCCCTTTTCCTGCCCGCGCGCCGCCCTGCAGGCTGCCGCGCTGCCCTGCCCTGCCCTACGCGCCGCGCTTCCCTGACCGTGCGCCGCCCTGCCCTGCCCTGCGCACCTCCCTAGTGCACGCGCGCCGCACTGGCCGTCGCGCCGTCCTGTTGCTAGCTATGGCTACCCTCAGAGTTCTCACCTTCGATCCTGAGGGCCGTCCGATCCAGTTTGATACATGGCTCGACGACTTACAGCTGTACCTACTGAGCGATTCTAAAGACGGCGTCTCGTTGTTTCACCACACGTCTGGAGCCTCTCTTGCTCCTCCCGACACAGCTGACAGTGCGACTCGCTCACAGTGGCTTACCCATGATGCTTCTGCTCACCTAGCTGTTCGCAACCACTTGCCATTAGCCGAACGAGCTCACTTTGGCCAGCACAAGACTGCTAAAGCCCTGTTTAACGCAGTAGTCGCTCGTTACTCCTCCCCTGCCACTGCTGCTCTCGGGTGCCTTATACTGCCTTTTTTTTTTCCCGAGCTGTCAGCCTTTGCTATAGTCGATGACCTCATCACCCACCTTCGCACTAGCGACCCGCGCCGCACTTAAAGATGAGTTGCTACACAAGAACCTGCCCTCGATGTACATCACTCTCTACTTCATCGTCACCCGCCTCCCTGACTCTCTTCGCGCAGTCAGGGACCACTTTCTCGCCCTTGACCCCACAGACCTCACTGTCGACCTGCTCGAGAAGCACCTCCTTGCAGCTGAGACCAGCATAGTTGCTGTAGGTGCTTCTCGTGGCACTCCTCGCACTCCCCTCTTTGAGGGGTGTTCCCCCTCCCCCCTTGCCCCCTCTGTCGCTTCTGCTGCTGCTGTTGACTTCCTTGGTGCTGAAGACGTCGGGGCTGCCCCTAGTGGGAAGTGCTGCAGCGGCAAGGGCAAGGGAGGCAAGGGTGGTGGGGGTGGCGACAGTGGCGGCGGTGGTGGAGGTAGTGGAGATGGTGGTGGTGGCGGTAGTGGTGGTGGGAGTGGTGGTGGGGGTGGAGGCGTTGGTGGCGGCGGTGGTGGTAGCAGTGGGAGTGATGGCGGTGGTGGTGGCAGCAGTGGAAGTGGTGGCGGCGGAAGTGGTGGCGGTCGGGGTGGAGCGGTCCAGAGGGGAGGTTCTGGCGGTGGCCAGAGGCAGCAGCAGCAGCGTTCCCGCGAGACCCTAACGCGCCAGCAGCTTCGTGAGTGGTTTGCTCAGCGTGGGGCGTCTGAAGGTAGTGTTCGCTGCCCGTACGTCATTCGCACAGGTAACCACGCTGGTCAGACATGCGGGAAGTATCACACACAGCAACGCTGCTTCTTCCGCCTTGACGACGCTTGGCGCACAAAGTTTGGCGACGAGGCAGAGCTTCCCAGCTGGCTAGAGCTGCTTAGGTCTGGTGTTGATATATTTGCTCTTGACTATGACGCTATCCTTGCTGCCATGTATGCTTTGACTGTTAGTGCTGAGGGTGACTGTTACCTGTGTGTGCCGCCCGACCCAGGTATAGAGGCTGCTGCTCTAGGTGCTAGTGAGTCTGCTCTCTCTGGTACTGCGCCTGCTGAGGCCTTGCACACCTTCACGCTTGACTCAGGTGCTTCCCGCTGTTTCTTTCGCGACAGTACCACAGTCACACCACTCCACGCATCTGTTGCAGTCTCACTGGTTGACCCCTCTGGGGGTTGCACGTTCCTCCACTGTTCTCCCGTGTCCGGCGGTTCCGTCTGGCTCACTGTCAGATCACCACCTCCCCTCGTTCTCGATAAACTTGGTGAGCAACGCAGTCCTTCAGGATGCATGGGTTGATACCTTTACCCCTGGAGGGCAGCGTGTGGCGATCTGCACGTGTGTTCCCGGACTGGCCGTCACCTGGCAACGTTCACCCGTCGGCCTGGGTCGAGTCTGTACACATGGATGTGTGGGGCCCAGCCCGCGTCAGTGGACAGGGCCGCGAGCGATACTTTCTGCTGGTTGTTGACGACTACTCGTGTTACACCACGGTCTTCCCCAGCCCCTCGAGTGGTTCCGCACGGACCTTCCTGTCCTGCGTCTGCACTTTGACAGAGGTGGTGAGTTCTCCTCCGACCTCTTGCGGGACTTTTGTCGTGAATGGCCAGTCATTCACGCTTCTGGCCTCCGCGCAGCATAATGGGATTGCTGAGCGCCGCATTGGCTTAGTCATGGAGGTGGCTCGTACCTCCATGATCCATGCGGCTGCTCCCCATTTTTTGTGGCCGTTTGCGGTCCGGTACGCTGCGCATCAGCACAACCCCTGGCCCCGTGTCTCCTTGCCGGAGACCTCGCTTACACTGCGTTGGACGGGAGAGGTTGGCGATGCGTCGGTGTTCCGGGTCTGGGGCGCTCGTGCCTTTGTCCGCGATACCTCCGCGGACAAGCTCTCCTCCCGCGCCATTCCCTGTGTCTTCCTTGGCTTTCCCCCCCACGCGCCTGGCTGGCAGTTTTACCACCCCACCACGCGCCGTGTTCTGTCCTCTCAGGACGTCACGTTTGACGAGTCGGTTCCCTTCTACAAGTCGATTGTTCCCCCTACCGCACTGCCCCTCTCCCCCCCCCCCCCGCCGCTCTTCCTCGCTCCAGGTCCCCCTCCAATAGACCCCCTCCCCCCTCAGGGTCCTGCTCCTTCAGGTCCGCACTTCCCTTGGCTGAGCCTGTCAAGGTCACTGGCGACTTTGGTGCTGCTGGGGGTGGTGCTGCTCGGGGTGCTGCGTCTGGGGGTGCTGAGCCTGCGGGTGCGGAGCCTGGGGGTGCTGAGCCTGAGGGTGCTGAGCCTACGGGTGTGGAGCTTGGGGGTGCTGGGCCTGAGGGTGCTGAGCCTGGGGGTGCTGAGCCTGAGGGTGCGGAGCCTGGGGGTATTGAGCCTACGGGTGTGGAGCCTTGGGGTGCTGAGTCTGGGGGTGCTGAGCCTAGGGGTGCTGCGTCTGCTGGAGGTCCTACGGGTGCCTCGCCGCAGCGGTCTAGCCGGCGGGAGCCTCTCTCACCACAGCAGCTGCGCGAGTGGTTTGCTCGGCGCACCCGCCTTCAGAGTGGCGTTGCTGGAGCTGGAGGCACTGCCGATGGAGGCGCTGGAGCTGGAGGTGTTGGAGCTGGAGGCACTGACGCTGTGGACCACTAGAGCTGGAGGCGCTGGAGCTGGAGGCGCTGGAGCTGGGCTGGCGGCGCTGGTCCTAGCGACCCTGGAGCTGGAGGTGCTGACACTGGAGGCACTGGAGCTGGCGGTACTGGTGCTGGAGGCACTGTGCAGCGGCGGCCGTTTTTCTTGCCACCGCCATATCTGTCACTGCTACCACCTGCCTCGGTGCTCCGCCAGGTTCTTAGTCTTCCTTCGTCCACTGCCATCCCTCCAAACCTACCTCTGCCTGCCCCCCTTCGTTACACTAAGCAGCCAGTCTCCCTTACAGAGCGTCGTGAGCCTGTGTCTCGTCCGGCCTCACCAGTTCGCACTGCTCGCCGTGCTCGTCGTGTTCCCCGTCCTCGTCCTCCACCTATCTCTGGCACGCACACTATGGCACTACGTCCTTCCTCTGTTCCACAGCGAGTTTCCCTGCCGTATCCTCCGGCGTCCTCTCTTCATGACGTTCCGGACCCTAAGCCTGAGTTGGTTCGTGCTGCCAGCCCTACTGTCACACGTCTCCTAGCCACTGTTGTAACTGTGTCTGCCTTAGTTGCTGAGCTTGTTGACTTTGCTGGTGCCTGTCGTCTAGACTACGCCACTAGTCTTGTTGTTGAGTCTGAGTCTGTCTGTCCTCCGTCTGTCGGGGGTGAGTGTGCTCTTGGCACGGACGTCCTTGAGGACACGCAGGTGAACTTTGAGTGTCTTGCAGCTACTGTACCCCATCTCGTGACCATTCTGCTTGCACCTTGTTGGGTGCAAATTCACATTGCACGACATCCTGCCGTCTGTTTGTACGAGTATGCGTGTGCGAATGCATTTGGGTGTGAATGAAATGTTCGTGTGTTTGTTTGCTTTCGCAATTTTTGCTTGAAGCATTTGCAGGTACTCGCGCAATGTGCGCTTTGGCACAACATTGTACGCGCTATGAACAGTGCAAGCAGAAAGGACGAGCTCGCAAATGAACCCAAGATGGAAGCTTTGCGGTTCGGTTGAATTGATTGCGCAGATTCAGTTCTATCCAACTTGAAATTGTACTGTTTTGTTTGGTTGACTATAGTGTAGCAGGGCAGGCACTATAGGGGTACAATTTAGGTGAAGGTTGGATGTTGTTTGTTTGTATCTGCATGCTACAGGGCCAGGGGAAACTAGCGGAACCAGCATTTGGCTGGTTGGGCAAAGACAAAAAAGGTTCTGTTTTTAGAACCTGAACCTGGTTGTTGTTTTCCCAGGTTGGAAAAACAGAACCAGAGGTTGTTTACTAACCTACCACCTGCTATTTTGTCCAGCCAGGTTGGTTCTGTTGCTTGGAATTATTTGGGATGATCCCTGGTTGTTCCCAGGTTGATTCCCAAGGTCCTTGCTAGCTAGAACTATTTATTCCTTCTCTGTTTGTACCTGTATATAGTCAATTGATTCAAGCGAATTCCTTCCTCGCTGGAGTTTCGTTTCTGCGCTATTCGACGGCGGAATGCTACCTGAGTCAACGCTAGTATGCTAGCACTCCAACGCTAGGCAAACGCTGTCCGAGCCATAATGTCGCAATGGCATAACATTTCGCGAGGCAACTTGGCTTATTTTAAAGCTCTTGGAGCGAGCTTTGTTATAGCAAATTATCAGCTTAATCCAATCGACGATCTGCACGGCACGCTGCGCTACGTTCAAGGTACTCTTGCTGTTTTGGCTAAGTTATTCTTGACTCCTCTCTCTACAAACTCGGACCCGAGGATAGGGGCTGGTCTTGTACCAGGCACCCAGGGACCCTTGGAGGTGACCCCGAGGAGAGTTTTAAGTTTGATTAAGTCTTAATAGCTTGATTTTATTAGGCCCTTACACCAACAAGCCGGTATCAGAGCTGCGTTATAGTGATCCTCGTTATAGGTAGCTATGGCGGGCAACACCTCGGCGGGAGCTGGTGAATCTTCAGCCCAAGATCGTAGCGGCAGCCAAGATTCTGGTGTTTCAGCGCCAAGGGGAGCGCGAACCAACCAGGGCTCGCTGATCAAAGAGGTGCTGAAGAATTTCACCGTCGAGAAGTTCAATGATGAGGGCTATGATGATTGGGCCTGGAAAATGCAACTTTACTTCCGTCAGATTGGATTGCTGAAACTAATGACCGGGAAGCAGCCTAGACCGAGTGACCCCGCGCTGCAGGAAGATTGGGACGAGCGCGCCTCGGCTGGCTACTACTTGTTGGGTGCAAATTTACATTGCACGACATCCTGCCGTCTGTTTGTACGAGTATGCGTGTGCGAATGCATTTGGGTGTGAATGGAATGTTCGTGTGTTTGTTTGCTTTCGCAATTTTCGCTTGATGCATTTGCAGGTACTCGCGCAATGTGCGCTTCGGCACGACATTGTACGCGCTATGAACAATGCAAGCAGAAAGGACGAGCTCGCAAAGGAACCCAAGATGGAAGCTTTGCAGTTCGGTTGAGTTGATTGCGCAGATTCAGTTCTATCCAACTCGAAATTGTACTGTTTTGTTTGGTTAACTATAGTGTAGCAGGGAAGGCACTATAGGGGTACAATTTAGGTGAAGGTTGGATGTTGTTTGTCTGTATCTGCATGCTACAAGGCCAGGGGAAACCAGCGGAACCAGCATTTGGCTGGTTGGGCAAAGACAAAACAGGTTCTGTTTTTAGAACCTGAACCTGGTTGTTGTTTTCCCAGGTTGGAAAAACAGAACCAGAGGTTGTTTACCAACCTACCACCTGCTATTTTGTCCAGCCAGGTTGGTTCTGTTGCTTGGAATTATTTGGGATCATCCCTGGTTGTTCCCAGGTTGATTCCCAAGGTCCTTGCTAGCTAGAACTATTTAATCCTTCTCTGTTTGTACCTGAATATAGTCAAATTGATTCAAGCGAATTCCTTCCTCGCTGGAATTTCGTTTCTGCGCTATTCGACGGCGGAATGCTACCCGAGTCAACGCTAGTATGCTAGCACTCCAACGCTAGGCAAACGCTGTCCGAGCCATAACTTCGTAATGGCAGAACTTTTCGCGAGGCAACTTGGCTCATTTTAAAGCTCTTGGAGCGAGCTTCGATATAGCGAATTCTCAGCTTAATCCGACCGACGGTCTGCACGGCACGCTGCACGACGTTCAAGGTACTCTTGCTGTTTTGACTAAGTCCTTCTTGATCCCTCTCTCTACAAACTCGGACCCGAGGATAGGGGCTGGTCTTGTACCAGGCACCCAGGGACCCTTGGAGGTGACCCCGAGGAGAGGTTTTAAGTTTGATTAAGTCCTAATAGCTTGAGTTTATTAGGCCCTTACACCAACAAGCTGGTATCAGAGCTGCGTTATAGTGATCCTCGTTATAGGTAGCTATGGCGGGCAACACCTCGGCGGGAGCTGGTGAATCTTCAGCCCAAGATCGTAGCGGCAGCCAAGATTCTGGTCTTTCAGCGCCAAGGGGAGCGCGAACAAACCAGGGCTCGCTTGTCAAGGAGGTGCTGAAGAATTTCACCGTCGAGAAGTTCAATGGTGAGGGCTATGATGATTGGGCCTGGAAAATGCAATTATATTTCCGTCAGATCGGTTTGCTGAAACTAATGATTGGGGAGGAGCCTAGACCGAGTGACCCCACGCTGCAGGAAGATTGGGACGAGCGCTCCTCGGCTGGCTACTATCTGATGTCGCAGAGTTTGGAGCTGAACCAGCGTCACCACGTCA